GGTACGCAAATACCACAGTAATTGTACAAAAGAACCACCAACAGATGCTAAAATCAATGAGCCAAAGTGTGATGAGAAACAGGATACCTTTCCACAGAAACTCACTAATCACAAAATGGGAAAATGTAATTTTATTGAGCAAAAACTAGCCAGAAACCTTAACCAAGTGGTCAAAGTTGTATCCCCAGTAAGTGGCATCCTGTACGTTCTGATGACACACTGAGGACAGTATACTCCTGTCAATGAACAACCTCCATCTAATCATGAGAAAATATCAGTTCTACCTAAACTGAGGATTTTTTTAAAAATTGACAAATTCTCTTCAAAATTTTGCTAAAGTTTGGAAAGATCTTTATATAGACCACAAAAGACAAAAGAGCCGTGACAACTACACTGTGGATTCTAAATTGGATTCAGAGTCACAGAAAGATATTAAGTGGGAAAACGAACAGAATTAAAATAAAATGTACACATCAATTAATAGTTTCCACACTTTAATAGGTTCACTGTGGTTAAATAGATGCCAATATAACGAAAAACTAGATGAAGGAAAATGGATTTTGTGAATGGTTAAAATTACTACAAAAGTTAACAGACAAAACCAAAAAACAAACAAACAAAAAAACCCCACAAGAATTTCAGCAGAGACCCAAGAATGTGGATTTCTTTATAGCCCAAGTTTGAAGCTCCTGATAAGGAGCAGGGTTCAGAGAAGAGCATAGTGGATCCAAACGGTCATGATAGAGAAGATAGTAGTAAATCCAAATGGTCACTATAGAGAACAGAGTAGTAGATCCAAACGGCCATTATCTACTGACAGCCATGTACTCCAGGAAGCCACCAAGTGAGTAAGGCAAGACAGGTTCTTGTCTTAACAGAGCTCTCACCTTATAAAGTGTGAATGGAATGACGTCCAGTTTTGCTCAGAAAGTTTATTTTCCATTTTGTTTAGCCTGTTATCAAATGTAGCATACTTTTGTTTATTTTATAGGAGTTTTAGGACTACACAGTGTACATTTCCAGAGCCCAGTGTCTATTCCCAACATATACAAGCACATTTATAACCTTATATGCATAATCAACACAGTCGCTATGCTTGTGTCCATGCAACTACTCTTACAGTTCTTGTAGAGTCTCTGTCTTTAGACAATGTATGATCTTTACTCTTCAAAAATATGGAAAGTGCAACAAGTAATATTTCCAATAAAAATTCTGTACATATTCAGACCCAAAGAGATGGAGGTTTTAAATTATTCTCTTGTGATAAATGTTCATGCTTGGAATTACTGGGTCAGAGATTATAAACACTTTTACAGTACTTAAACTGCATCATTAAATTGAACTTGAAACCCTACAACTAGACAAAGAGTCCTTATGACATTGTTTAAAAAACAAAAACTAGTTTAGAAGACATTACTCTCAAAACGTATTTAAACTGGCATTTCTTTATACTAGCATTCTCTATAAGTTCTTTGCTCTGGAGATTATATGAATTCTAAAGGCTCGTTGCATCATGTTCTTGTTTAACTAGTCTTCACATGTGACAGATCTTAACATTCTTTCTCAAAAATTTCTTTTGTAAAAAAAGCTTTTGAGCATTTCTAATTTGTTATATTTTTCCAATTTTTAAATTTTAATTATTTCACGGAATATTAATTTTTAAACATACAGATCTATGCTCGAGATGCTTCATACTCTCAATTGTCATTCTCTAATAAGTCTAGCCATTAGAAGATACAGAGTATCTAATAATCAAAAAAAGTTTTCATTATGCTCTCCATGGAAAACCAAGTCAGAAAAAAGGGAAATGGTCTAAAAGACACAAAATAGGACACTTTAAATGTAGATCAATCTGGTAGATCAATCACGTGGTGCACGCCTTTATTCCCGGCACTTGGGAGGCAGAGAAACGTGGACAAGATCGAGGTCAGCCTGGTCTACACAGTGAGTTCCAGGCAAGGTGGGCTACAGGGAGACCCTGTCTCAAAAAGACAAAAATAAATAAATGAATAATAATTTTTTTAAAAAGCTGATCAAAGGAAACATACAGAGCACATTCTTCTCTGTTCATAGAGTTTTAGTGACAAAATTTTAATCTCTTTAATTTGATCTACATAAACTCCCTTAGACAAACACACTTTTGGACCTAGTGCAGACAGGAGAGGAACCTACCAAACTTCAGCCTCTCTACCTCCTGCCATTGCCCTGAAGTCCTAAGTGTCTGCAGAAGGAAGCACTCCTGACAGGACAGATCCTGCCACAGGAACGGGTGCAGCACTCTCCTCACACCTTCCAGGGCTCAGACTGAGACTGAATTTTAATACTGAAGCATAATGTGATTAGCATTTGATATAGAATTGCTTTATTCTTGATTAGCTCATAACTTGAACAGCATGTGGTAAACAGACGTAATGAAAAAATTACTAACAAAACCTCAAGAATGTCCACTTCAGAGAGAAAGCAGGTACTTCCTTGTATGTTCATGGAGGACTTTTTAAAGGTTTTGTAAAAATTTCAATTCTACAGGAAAGGAAATATCTGCTATTTTTCTAAATGTTAATTATTAAAGTCTATACCTCCACCTCAAAACTCATCTTGGTTGGTTCAGGCTTGTACATTACCTAAGTCATTACTCTTAAGTCATGTGTACATGTTAGATACACATGCACAAACATACCCACAAATATGTATGAAAGCAAGGAGTCAGTAATTTGTCTCATTGTGCTGATTTTTAAAGTAGGAATACATTGTATGTCTCTTCCAAATTAAATGTTGGTAAGATAAACCAAACCCAAAAGTATAAATGTTCTGTAAGAACCTTCAAGAAGTCCTAACAACTGAAAATACTATGTTGGTAACTTTACAATTGCAAACTGTGCCTAATGCCAATAAATCCATCATAAAGCTGCAAGCACAGCTGTCAGCTCAGCACTGTGAAGAGAACTTTGAGAACCAAGAGAAAATAAACACTCGCCTCAAATGTCCGTCAGCGTGAGCAGCTGAAATGCTACGTCATCAGTAGCTCAAAGAATGCTGACAAATTCTCGTTCAGTGGGAAATAGCAGCCTAAAAGTTTTCTTAAAGTCAAACAAATTAAAACAATTTTTCTATATACAAAACATTTTCTAAAACTCAGACATTATATTTTAGGAAAATTAGATTCTCCTCTCTCTCCTCTCTCTCTCCGTCCCCCCCCCCCGCCCAAAACCCAAATTTTTCCCTGTGATAAACACCCTTCCCACAAAAAAAGAACCTACCACAAAGGCCTGTGCAGACCTTATTCCCTACCATGGGAAGGTCCCTAAGGAAGGGATTTTAAGTAAGTGATGATCACTGATTTTCTGATCACAAAAAAACACCTGCAGTAAACTTGGCCATGTGAAAGCAGGAAGAGACTAACAATGTAATGCTCATCCACGACCCTGGAGCAAAAGCACCCCCACCATCTTGCTGTATCTATCTCCTATCTTTTTCACATGCCTGTCTGTTCCTGTTTCCAAAATATAACCAAGAGCATACTTCCTACTCTCACTCACCCACTGTCAAAACAGTTAATCATGAACTAATTGAATGATGATAGCTTTATGCATAATTTTTTTGTATGTTTATTATTATTTCCTTAGGATTCCTATGTATGATAAAGAATACTTATCGACATTCCACAGGAAATATATGTTCATTCAACAACTTGTCACCAATAGTATTAAAATATTCTGTTACCTAATATAAACTTACATTTTTTGATTATTAAGGAAATGAAATCCTTTTCTCCTAATTTTGAAAGACAGGGTCTCATGATATAGATCAGGCTAGCCTTAAACTGGCTAGAAAGCCCAGGCTGGCACTGACCTTGCAATACTCTTGCCTCCACCTTCCAAGTGCTGGGATTACAGCGTGTGTTACCAGGCTAGGCACATAAACTCCTTTCTGTATGTACTAGTAACGTGTGTCTTCTTTGGGAATTGCCTTTTTGTCGTATGTGTTCCTAACAATCCAAGGGACAACATATTCCTTTCAACACTGTAATGTTACCAGCTTGTTTTAAATCTTTCATTTATAAGTTTTATGACTTAAAATACGATTTTAGTCTGGCATGGCAGTGCATGCCTCTGGGCACCTACCTATTCTGGAGGTCGAAGCAGGAGGATTACTTGGGAAAAAGAGTTCAAGGGAAGCCTATTAAAATTTAAGTTTTTCATAATCTACAAAGACTGATCAGAAATTACATTTTACTGAAGTTGCAAAATTACAATACCCAAGTATCATTTATGTTACCGCTAAAATTTTCTTTAACAATCCTTTATAACATCACACACAGTTACTAAAGCCAAACAAGACTAGTTCATTTCATTTTTGCCATGTCCTCACATGACAGCACTCCTGGCTTGCTAACCAACACCAAATACACTCAAGTGTGAGAAACAGACATTTCGCGGTTTAAAGCAATTCAACATATTTCATATGATAAATAAAAGGAAAAGTAAAAATATTTCACTGAGGCCTTAAACAGCTGAATAACCAAGCTGGGTGTCTTACTGCCAGAGGACAGATCATTACTCAAACAACTATTTTTAAAGCAAATGTTATACTAGTAAGCAAGCTCCAAAGCTAAGCAATCTTCAGAAGTCCTTCCTTGAAAGAGCCTATTTCAGTCTTCTAGAGCCCCTTATCTAGAACAGGGCAGACTTACTGCTCAAAAAGCAAACAAGCATGCAAACTGCCAAGTAAACATGCATTAATTAAAGTGTTCCTTTTATGCACGTGCCAAAAACCAAGTATGTACAACAAAACTATGCTGTTAACACTACAAAGTAGACCTCAGCTTTCCTAAATATTAAGATTTTGAAAGTTCCCCTAAAGATTTTTTTAAAAAATTATGAAAGACACCTGAAGGTTTCTCTCAACATAAGTAAATTCATACAACATATAAAATTATATTTGTAATGGTTTATGTTTACAAAAATGCTTTGCCCACAATGTGGCAAGTGATCAACCCTTACCTTCTACTGAGGCACCTTGGCTGAGAGGATCACATGATTCACCTTCACACCAATCCCAGAACACAGCTCCTCCCAGCAGGCCCTCAGTCAGGCCTCCTTAGCAGCCACTGAGTGAGCAAGTCCCTTGGAGCTAACCTAAGTATTAAATCAAAGGGCTACTGGTTAGAAGTAGATAACTAAAAGCGTTGACCAGAAATGCAAACAAACAACTTATCTTTTAATGATAAATTCAAAATAGCTTACTCATAAAAAAATTGTATTCAAGTGAAAACACTGGGATGTAGCTGGCTGATACCTCATGCCGACAAAGGTGAGGACATGAAGCTGTTCTGTGAGGGAGCAGAAGCTGGTGGGGCCTCTCTCAAGGGCAGCAGTTACAGCCATTAACAGATTGAAATGGACTTTTAAAAATCCTTTAACCTAGGAAACTCACTGCCACAGGAAATTACTCCAGGACTAAACCTAAAAATCCATCAAAGTAGAATATACTAGGATATGTGTTGCAGTATCCTTTATTTAACAAAAACAACAACAACAAAGAAAGCATTTTAAGGCAGGGCAGAGGCTTAGAAGCGTAAGAGAAAACCGAAGTATCCAGCAACAGGGAATGTATTACAGAAACAGGTCCGACAGCTAACAGAACTTTATGCATCTATGCTTGCTACTGCTTCCCTCCTCCCTCTCCCCCTTTCTTCCCTCCCCTTCACTCTTCCCCCACTCTCCCTCTCCTCTCTCTCTAAAGATGGGTTCTTGCAATATAGCTCTAGATGGCCTGGAACTTTCTGTCCTTCATAATCCTCCCAAGTGCCATGTTTGGTGTTTGAAGTTTTTGTTGCTTATTTTCTACTTTGTTTTCTTTTTAAGCAGGTTCTCACTATGTAGCTCACGCTGCCCTGGAATGCTCCTTTCAGCCCAGATCAACCAGAACTCCAGATTCTCTTGCCTAAACTTCCCAAGTGCCAAGATTACAGGCATGCACCAGGACATCTGGCTTCCATTTTTAAGTCAATCCTTTAGGATATTGATTTCTCCCCTTGTAATCGTCTATTGGTACCTTAACATTCCCTAAATATAACCAATGAAGAATTTGGGTTTTTTTCTTAAATTTTCTTTAAAGCCCAGTTTACTTTCTCTCTCCTTAGGTCATCCAATTTCAGGGGCACAGTGCCACAGAGGCAGGTGAGAAAGGAAGGAGACAGGAAGGGTCCTGCCAAGTGAGATGTCCACAACAACAAACTCCCAACTGTCAAGAAAAACACATTGATCACCAACCAAAGAACAGTCTGGAACCTTCAATGGATGGCACACTCTGTGTAAGCACTGGTTTAATCCACCAAAGTATGTAAAACATGAGATTTATGTTAATTATTAAGCACTTCTATGGCAATTGGGTAGGAATGCCATTGGTCATCTTAGTAATGAATAAAGGTTATACATAATGGAATCTATTTAGAGTACTGTGAAATGCCCTGCTACTGGTTCACTATTTTAGGCTTTAACTGTGTTAGTATAAACAGAACCTGTATTACAGAAGGATCTCATTATATTTAAAGAAGATAACTGCTATTTTCAGCAATTAACTGGCAAAAAGGATCAATGGAGGGGCAAACAACAAAGAGACCGCATCTCAAACAAGGCAGAAGGACCAATAATGCCAAGCTGTCCTCTGACCACCACATGTACACATATACACACACATCATACATGCACACACAAATACTTATTAAACATTTATTATGTGTCAGATACCATCTTAAGAACTTTAAATAAATAATAGCCTTTAATCCTCATGACAACCCCACAGAGATGGGTATAGTTACTGTCCCATTTTGCCATCTGACAGATCAAGTTTCACTTGGCAATTCTTTCCCAAATTTTTCTGGCTGTTTTCACATATTTTTTTTTTCTTCCAGGAAAACTTTTAAATCATGAACAAATTCTAAAATTCAATAGCAAGAACAAATCTTAAAATAGCCAGAGTCTGCCAGGCATGGTGGCACTCTGGAGGCCTGAAGCAGGAAGATCGCCATGAGTTCAAAGCCAGTCTGAGCCATACAGCAAGATGTCTTAAAAACAAAACAAAAAAATGGGTAAAAAGTGTCAAACATTCTTTTAACAGTCTTCTAACAAATATTTTTTGATACTATTTCTACTTAAAATACTCTTTTTCCCTTCAGATGTCTAAAAAGGCATCAGCCACTTTCATTCCCACCTCAAAAAGAAAAAATATAGTTAAAATGATTCATAGCATATTTTAAAGTTTAATAGTCTCAAAGTACAAGCAGGAAACATGCAGTTCCATACACAATCTTAATTGGAGATAATTTTAATTTTATTTACTATTTTTATTTTATGTGTACGCATGTATTGCCTGCATGTAGGTAAGTGTACCCATGTTGTGCAATGCCTGCGGAGGTCAGAAGAGGCTGTCGGATCCCCTGGGACTGGAGTTACAGACAGTTGTTAGCTGCCATGTGGGTGCTGGGATTTGAACCCGGGTCTTCTGCAAGAACAACCAGTGTTCTTATCTGCTGAGCCATCTCTCTAGCCCTGGAGATAATTTTTAAAAATTGAAATTAGGCTCTCCATAAAGGTATGACCCAACCAAGCTAAGTGATCCACCAGCCCTACTGATGCATCACAAGCCAGAACTAACTAACTCCCCCTTACTACATACACACACACACACATACACACACACACACACTCACTCACTCACTCACTCACTCCACAGAGTACATGTCAGAGGACAACTTGCAAGAGTCAATTCTCTCTTCCACCATGTTGGCTCTGAGACTCAAACTCAAGTCATCAGGCTTGATGGAAAAATACCTTTATCCACTGTGCCATCTTGACAGCCTATGGATGGTTAACTTTAATAGATTCATTTTAAAAGCTAGAAAAGATTAAGAAAAATATTAAACCTCTCTCATTTTTCTTTATAACTACTTCACCATATATAATTTATTTTGTTCTTTTTAGCTTAAATCAACAAATCTTAAAGTTATCCTGAGCTCTTACATCAGACACTCCTTATGGGTATCTGCAAGCTTTACTGACTCCTCAGAGTAAAAGAATTCCCTTGTTAAAATGTAGTGTTTAGGGTCAGTGAGATGACTCAGTGGTAAAGGTGATTTCTGCACAAGCCTGGTGACCTGAGTTCAATCCCTAGAAGCATGTAAAGCCAGAAGGAGAGAAGTAATTCCACCAAAGTTGCTCTCAGACTTCCACACATGTACCATGGCATGTATACTCACACCCATACCGCCCCCACACACACAACTAATAGATACATAAATGATTTTAATGTAGTATTTCAGGGCTGGGAAGATGACTGAGGAATTAAGAGCACTTGCTGCTCTTACAGAAGACTAGGGTTCAGTTTCCATCACCCAAATGGTGACTCATAACCATAGATAACTCCAGTTTCAGAACTTTCTGGCTTCCTTAGGCACCAGGCACACACAATAGTACACATGTATACATGCAGGCAAAAACACTCATACACATAAAATTTTTCAAATGTTTTCATCTTCTTTTAACGTAGTTTAAATTGCAGGACCTGGTTAAAAACTAGAAATATTAATTTGATGCTATTATAATGAAAAATTATGGTTCATGAGAGGAGCTAATTAGGGGATGGAGAGATAGCTCAGTGGTTAAGGCAGCTTGCTGCTCATGAAGGACATGGGTTCGGTTCCCAGCACCCACATGATGACGTACAACCCCATGTAACTCCAGCTCCAGGGTATCTGACACTCTCTTCTGTCCTCCTCAGGTTCCTGCATGTGCATGTTGCACATAAATTCGCATAGGCTCACACACATATACATAAAAATAATAAATAAATGAGTAAATAAGTAAATCTTTTAAAAGAGGAGCTAATTATAAAACATACACCTTGACTAGGAAAAGCAACAGTGTTTGTTCTTTCCAGCCCAATGACAAGTTGTTGTTTATGTTTTTCTCATTTTCTTAATTGCCTAGTTTTACATTTTCACATGAAGAACAGCTTTGTTAGCACTGCATGAAACCTATGACTAATATACTCCCAGTAAATATTTACATACAAAAATATTTTTTCTTTTATTAGTACTCGTGATTCAAAATAAACAACCTATCAAGACTACAGACTCCCTAATGCTGGAAAATTACAAGAGCATTTACACTTATCTGAAGTTATTAAAGGCCCAAGACACTTAAAACTTATAAACACTCACAAAATACAACCCTAATCCACTTCTAGGAAAAGGATGGTTCTAGTCTTAAGTTAATCAAAGAAATTATGAGAATTTATTAACCTTGCTGCTATATAGAAACAATATTCCATACAAAAAAACTTGGTGAATATGTTAACTTTAATCAGTTTACCTCTAAATACAAGACATTTCTGAAATAATATGAAAAGTGTTTAACAGTATGTAAACCAAATCTATAGGCATTAGAAAACTTTTGACTTAAGAAAGCACATCTGAAACCCAGCCAGGTGCCCCTTTCTACGTGTAGCCCTCTACAGGAATCTCAGTGTCCCTGAATGAGTGGAGTCAACCAGTGTGTAGGGCATTTGTATTTTCTCTATGGAAATTCTATTTCCTAGCATTCCTATTTTAAGCTCATTTTTAAACCTATCATAAATAAGCTGGCAATGATGGTACATACCTATAATCCTAGCACTGGGAGGCTGAAGCAGGAGAATTACAAGGAAGGCCAGCCTGGGATACAGAGCTAAAGCCCATTTTAAAATCGAAAAACTTTAAAAAAAACTAAGCACAAAAAGACTATAAATGGATTTTCATGTTTTTGTTTAATAATCCCAGCACTCGGGAGGCAGAGGCAGGGGGGACTTTGTGGGGTCAAGGCCAGCCTGGGCTTTATAGTGAGGTTCAGGGAAGCCGGGGGTACAGAGGGGCCCCGGCCCAAAAAGGCCAAAAAAAAAAAAAAGTAATATATAAATATTTCAAATAATATAGTAATGAAGAAAAAGTAATCTCTCTCCCAAATTCCAAACCATGAGATATTAATATGTAACTACTCTGACTCCTCTAGGCCATTCAAAGCAACACACAGCTATCTATAAACATGTATGTAGACATACACCTACAGGTACACATACCCCTGGGGTTCTGTTGTACTTT